GCTGATGTGTGAGGAATCAGTTTCATTGAACAATGTCTTCTGGAAAGTTATTAAGTCTAATCTATCCTCATTATCTTATCTAGGGGTGTCTTTGGTATGGTAGGTCTATGCTAGACATTGCTATGCACTGATCACACTGTTATTGCTCATGGATAGGCTTCTTTCCAAGGGTATTGGTGGGGGCATTTGCTCTGGATTTTACCATAGTTAGCTTGAGATTCTAATGTTTGTTTGAGGTGTTTTGTTGGAAGAGCAAACCTAAATAGATCTTCCTTCGTTTTTATGTTCTTTTTTATTCAGAGGTTGGATTCACAGATCATTACTTACCCTTTAAGATTAAAAGCTGATATTCCTAGTTATCTTGATGGTTATTTTTTTGTCTATTCTAAAATTTACCTTTTTCCCACTGTGGATGTGTTGGGTTTTATTTTGATGACAATGATCTGTTTAAATTGTATGGATGTATTGATATTACATTCTTCACCAACCTTAATTGCCTAGACATTTGGCTAATGTTGCTATTGAACCATTTTCAAATGCAAATTTGCTAACACAGCCAACTAAGCTGACTTTGAATTTCCATACAACATATCATTGTTGATATTGACTTGTGGAGTGTATTTGTGTTAGTAGCTTTACCTGAAGTATACATTTGTGTCGACTAAGCCACAATGACATGGGAATGCAATTTTACCTTTTTTACCTGTTTCGTTGTATGATGGCATGCTATTTGTTTCTCTTGTTGTTGTTAGAAGTGGTATGAATACTTGTTTATATGATTTTTGATTTTTTTTTTTTTTTTTTTTTGCAGCTAAAACGGGTAATTGATTCAGATGCAGCTATGACTGAGGACTTAGTTGCTTATAACATTATTCCACTGGATGCTCCTACTATAACTAATGCCATTGTGTCTTTGCCTGAGGTAGTCCTTTTTCCAGATTTCATGCTACTATCTAGTTCCTTTTATTGTAATCTTACTAAAAGATATTATTGGCCACTTTGTTAGGTCCAAGCTGCAGTGTCAGCATTGAATTACTTTATGGGCTTGCCAAATCTACCTGCAGATTTTTCTCTTCCTAATACAAGGACTGCTGATATGCTTGATTTTCTACAGTTTGTCTTTGGTTTTCAGGTTTGTACTGGGCTTTTCCTCTTTCTAGTTTCTGCTGTAATGAAGCTGATAACATGGGTTATTAAGTATTCTTTTCCATGTTTGTTTTATTACAATTTGTAGGATTTTTTTTTTTTGTTTAAATCAAATATTGGATTTTCTATGCTGTATCCTGTATATAATAGCTACATCCTACATTTCTAAAGAGGTTTCAACTCTAGGGTCTTGTTCCCTCTTTCAGGGACTGTGTTCTCTTTACTCCTCTTTTTCCTCACCCTCAATTTTCAATTCAAGCTATTTTTGGTTTCAGAAAGACAATGTTTCTAACCAACGTGAGCATGTAGTTCTCTTGCTTGCAAATGAGCAATCTCAACTTCGTATTCCTGAAGAAAGTGAACCAGTAAGTCTATTTGTTGCATATATTAATGCACTGCTTCTCATTGCTTCTTGGCTGTGTATTTTGTTTCTGGAATTCCCATGACATATGGAATAATACCTTTTTTTTTTTCCTTAACATTTCAAAACTACATGTTTTGCTGTTTTTACATGTGTCGTTGGTATTGTATATCTTTTAAAGAAACATTAACAGTCTCAAAGAGTTGCTTGCTTTGAGTTTTGCCATTGTTTAGCTAGGAAAGAAAAGAAAGGTTTTGTGTAGATGATGCTTTATGTTACAAGCCAGACAAAGTGGTGAAACACTAACTGGCCAGAAGTGGTTCCTGTTTGTTTATTTGGTGCAAAAAAATGAGTTTAAATAGGAGATTTTAGGCTTGTTTAATAAATGATCTGAGCCTGAACGAAAGTAGCTTGTTCTTCTAATATTTTCTGTCTTTAAATATTAATTTCACAGTATTTTTGTGGCTAATTGCATATTCTTTGGCATGTCAATTATAATTTTTGTGGATTTTATATTCTGTTGTTTGGTTTTTTTTTTTTTATATTGTCCCTACATTCTATTTTTTTCATAAATCAATTAAACTATTGAATTTTTAAATCACAGCAACTCAAGCCTCTTCTACAATGATATGGTATCAACTCAATTGAGCTTGATTATACTTAAGTTGCTGGTTGGCTAGCTAAATTTTAATTAATGAGTCTCTCTGAAGCTTGTGCTGGCTGCTGTAAGATCTCAAGCTTGTTGATCTTGTTTGAGATGGCCTTGCTCATTTGCACTCTTTGGACCCATTTCTAACCCCTGCCATTTCACCCATAAATAAGGAAGAAAGAATTGTAGCTTCGTTTAGGAATATTTGTATCCTGTAAATTTTCCTTTTGCAGTTGACAGAAATCTGACCACATATCACTATCAACTGTCATGGGTATCAGTTCCATTATGATCTTTATTTATTTATTTTTTTTCCAATTTGTTCATCTCAGTGAATATAGGATTCTTTAATAATCTTGATGAAATAATAAAGGCTGAAAACTTTTTCTTTTTATTGAGGGATGTAAATATTAACTCTTAAATTATTATCCGTCACCTCTTAATATTTGAAGGTTCGACCTCAGTCCTTATACTTCCTCTTGATTTGGTTCAGAGGCTGGTTACCTTGACTTTTTTGTGGTCATCTCTTTGTTGCTTGGTTGGACCTCTTAATTTAACTTGAGGAATTTATACTGCTTTTCATGTGGCTGTCTTAATCTTTAATTCTAATATTTTCCATATTCCGTTTAAGAAACTGGATGAGGCTGCTGTACATAAGGTATTTCTGAAGTCTCTTGAGAATTACATCAAATGGTGCAACTACTTGTGTTTCCAACCTGTATGGAGCAAGTGAGGATTTGAACTGCTTTTGATTTACTTTGTTGCTTTTAATTGCTTGCATATTTATTTATGGCCTGTGATCATTTAGAGTTAATGGATTACTGTCTTGTGTAGTCTGGAAGCAGTTAGCAAGGAAAAGAAGTTACTCTTTGTTTCTTTGTACTTCCTGATTTGGGGGGAAGCATCTAACATCAGATTTCTTCCTGAATGCTTGTGCTACATATTTCATCATGTAAGTGCTGAGAGTGTGTTTAGTACATTACCAGGGATATTACCCTGGATATCACATTAAAAATGTGATTAGCATGAGTTAAATTATTTGGCCGTACGTCTGGTAGACATAATCAATTTAATCTAAATTTTTTTTTTCACATGACTAGTATGGTAGAACTTATTTTCACGATGTAAATGCACAACATGAAAATTAAAAATTGGAAACAAAAACCTGATGTGAACAAAAGTGATAAAGAAATAGTATAGTGTATAATTGGTATATTTCTTATTGGAGAAATTTTGACATGGGTTAAGCATGCTGTTTCATTAGACTAAGAAATTGTAAAATATGTATGAAGCATTTTCTTCTCCACTCAAGTAGAATTAGAAAATTTGATTTTTTTTTTTTTTTTGGCATGCTTAGGAACTTTTACCAGCAATTTTACTAAATCATCATGCCTAATTTTTTTGATTGGGAATTTTTTTCTCCATCTTACTTGACGAGGCCTCAATCTTACTAATTTTCATGCCTAAATGGTTTTCTGATGGTGACAGGCTTTAACTCACCTAAGTCAATATTAAGAAATTTTCCTTGAAATGTTTCTGTTAAATGTCAAATAGCCTCTCAATGTTTTTTAGCTTGACACCTCCTTTTAGTTATTTATCATCATAAGAGTGGTTTTAATAGTGTTACAATTCTATTGTGGCATGCAGATGGCGAGGGAAATGGATGAAATTTTGAGGCAGCAGATTGTACAACCAGCCAAGAGTTGCAATTCAGAGAATGGTGTGTCATTCCTTGGTCAAGTTATTACTCCGTTGTATGAGGTGGTGGCTGCGGTATGTGCCAGTCTTTCATCACCAATTTATCTCCACATTTATCATACTGTCCTTAGAAAAAAGTAGTTTTACTGAGTTCTTAGATTCTGATGTACTTTTTTGGTTATATGCTGTATGTATAACCCTGCAATCTCCTCTTCCTTCCTCCTCTTCCTTCTTTTCCTTCTATTAGCAGATTAAATCTTTGAGAAGCTTCAAGCTCTAGTGCTGGTTGTGATGCTAATACTCGAATCTTGCTTGCCAAGGAGTCTATCCTTGGCCTCCATTGGTTGCTTAAATTACCTTAACTATATTATAGTTACCATTTCTTATTACTAAACAGCCTTAAGGCTTAAACTAATATAAACCTTGACAATGTCTGTCTGTTATTGGTGTCTGTTATTGGTCAAATATGTTCTTGGTTTTGGAGCCTTCTCAGAATCATTTATGCTTGAAAGTGGTTTGGAGCATTCTGTTACAGTGAAGGAATCGGGAATTGGAGATGGCTGTAAATGTACCTTGTTGAAGAATCTAAGGAGCAAGTTGGGGAAGAAGCTGCAGTTCTATATTGCATTCCAAGGATAGTTACATTTGTTATACTCTAGACCTTTGAATCTCACAAGCCACAACAAAAAGACCTCAATTCTAATATGGTTGGAATGAGATCTGTGAATCCTTATGATTAGATTCACCTATAGCTAAGACCATGCTCCATGTAGGAGGGAGTGATTTCTTGAAAATTTAGATTAATCAGTCTTTTTACATTTTGTTTTTTGGCCAAATGATTAATCGATCCTTTACTTGTTATACATTGACTTCCAATAATTCTTTTTAAAACTACCATAGATGGGAACTAGCTACATTTGAAAACAAAGTTGGATAGCCTAGAAAAATCCTTTGAATAGTGGTTATTAATTAATATATGGCAAAAGTATGGTATAAGGACCCAAACTTACACCAAATTCGCAATTTCAGACCCAAACTTCAATTGCACTCAATTAAGGTCCCAAACTACACGAAATTCTCAAATAAGGTCCCAATTGGATGGATAATTAACTTAC